CCCAGCCAGCGGCAGCCGGTCACCGTCCGGAGGGGGCGGCGCTTTGTCCGACGCACAAACAGCAGCCGCGGGTCTCCCCCGCACCCACACTTCCCTCCCTGCAGCAGGGAGAACCGGCTGGCCTGGGATCCCGGGGACGTCTGTCCCGGGAAAGGCTGGCCTGGGGATGTCTGTCCCAGAGATGTCTGTCCTGGGGACAGCTCGGCCCCCAAGGCTGCCGCCAGTGCCCGTGGCCGTGTGGGGAGCGCTGCTGCTCCCACAGCCCCTCAGCTTAAGCTATGCTCCATCTCCACTCTCTGCAGAGGCTCTCCCCGGCCATCTGGCCACCCTGCATGCAGCGGGCTCTGGTCTCTGCTGGGGGCTGTGGCCTCTGCCCCAGCACAGCTCAGCGCTCCCTGCCCTCCCTCAGGGAACAATGGGCTCCCACAGGACACAGCACCGCCAGGCAGCAGGATTCCTGTGCCAGCCCACCCCACGGGGCAAAGCTCGCCGGTACCGGTGTCCACACAGGGCAGCACCCAGGTACATGGGACACGTCCCTGCCAGCCCCAGTGCCCTGTCCCCAGGGGCTCCGGGACGAGCGTGGTCCCGGTGGGGCCGCAGCATGGGCTGGGTGGCACAGGCTTGCCATCGAGCAGGCAGCGCTGGGTCCAACCCTCTGCCTGGGCCCATGGTGGGCTCTGCACCCCAGCCAGGGAGTGGGGGGAGTTCACAGCCCCCCGCCAGCAGCACATGCAGACCCCAGAGAACTGCCTGCTCGTCCAGCGGTTGCCGTGGCAACGCGTTATTAATGACAGCTGCTTATTTTGCCATGGCAACGGGGGGAAAAGGGTCTCTCCTCGCAGCAGGCAGCTCTCCTGGGGCTGGGGCTGCCCCACCACTGCCCTCCCCATGTGGGGCAGAGCTTCACGCTGTCCTGCTTGGCCAGCCCCAGCCCCGGTGCCCCAGGGCCATCGCCATCCCACTGGTGGGGCCCTCTGCGAGCCCCCTGCCTGGGAGAAGCGCTCCCCATGCTCCCGAGACGGCTGCACCCACGCTCCCATGTTCTGCCCGCTTGGCACTGCCAGATGGTGCCTGCTCCTCGGGCTGTACCTGGTCCCCAGGGGCTGGGACTGCCGGTGGTGCCCCTGCCTCCCTCCTTGGCTCAGCTCCCTTCTTGCTCCCGCTGTGGTTGCTGGTGGCCGACGTCCCTTCCTGGGCAGAGGACAGCCTTGCCAGCTCCACCCCACCTCCTTATCAACACCCTTTGCCCAGGAAGTGCCACAGACGGGACAGGGCTCTGCCTCACGGAGCCTGGCACGTCACCCTGCCCTGGGGTGGGAGCAGACACTCACCCCTGCAGCCATGTTCCGCCCTCCCGATGGCACCCCGGGGGTCTCTGGGGGACTCTGGGCACCCGGCTATTGCCTGTGCGTGGCTGTGGCAGTGCCATGCCAACATCCCGGTGTGATGGCACGCAGGGAAGGGAACCCCCCACGGGGAGGCCAGCTGCTCTCAGGGCGGGCAGGGAGGGTGGGCAGGCTGCCCTGGCCCAGGCCGGGCAGCGAGCAAGCAGCGGAGTGAGGCCAGAGCCTGTGCCTTTAAAGGCGGGCTGCGAGGCGCTCCCCACCGCTGCTGGCAGCCAGGCCTGTTTACGACAAACTCCCATTTATCTCCTCCGCCTGCCCACGCAGCTTGCCAGCGCGGGGCAGCGCCAGGGGCACCCTGCAGCACCCTGCCCTGCTCGCACACCCGCGCAGGCGCAGCGCCCAGCCGGACCGGCATGTGCGTGCCCTGTGCGGCTCTGCAGGTACCTGCACGCACAAGTGTGGCGGCCGTGCCGCCGTCCCAGCCTGCCCTCCGCCTGCAATAGCGGTTGGTGATGGGGAAACTGCTTGGGGTGCCGGGGCCCAGGCAGCACCAAAACCTGTGGCCTGGGGTCACCAGGCAGGCGGGGCGGTGGTTTCTGCACCAAATTCCCACGCCAGCACCCGCCACCCTGTTCCCGCGGGCGGCGGGTGCCTGGGAAGACGGCTGCGGAGCTGGGTGCCGCTGCCTGTGACGAGCAGGGCTGGGGCTGCGTGCGCCCTGCTGCTGCTGCTGCTGCCTGTGTGCTCACGCCTTCCTTCTGCAGCCTGCCCCAGCACGGGCAGCAGCGCAGGCAGCAGCACAGGCACGTCCCCCGCTCAGAGACCTGCACCCGGCTCGCACACAGCCTACGCGCCCGGGCTCTTCCTCCCGACCCACATCTCCTGGGGCTAGCACGCACGCCCCCGGCTTGGCTTTCTCCTAGAGGCTGCCAGACAACACCAGGCAGTCCCCCCGAGTCCCCCCCCTTACACCAGCGGCCTCCTCTCGGCCGCGCACACGCGCAGAGCGTGAGCGCGCTTGCACGCACACCTGCAGCCGCGCAGGCTCCCGGGCCGTGCTGATTCACGCACAGATGCTCCCAGACCCAGCTGCTCAGCGCCAGCAGCTCAGAGAACGCCGCGCGTCCCGCTGGAGCTGGGCTGCCTCTCACGGCACAGCCACGGTCGGCGCGTCAGGGAGCAGTATGGCACAGGCACGCCTGCTCTGCTTCGCTGCACCCCGGCAGCCAGCGGCCCCAGGAGAGAGGCCTTGCTCAGGACGAGGGAAAGGGGCAGGGGCTGGGGCAGCCTCCAGTCCGTGGCACAGGAGGGCAAAGCCCGGTGCTGGTCCCAGTGCAGGGCCTGGGGGGCATGGCCAGCCAGGCAGGTCACTGCAGGGCTCCCCACAGGGCCCAGGGGCCCCGGGGTATCCTCCCTGTCCCATGGGCACTGGCCGTGCCACCCTGCCCAAGCCAAGGGCCTCCCATGAGGCCACAGCCCTGCTCTCTGCCTCCCCTGCAGCCACATGAAGCCTGGTTGCCCCCATGCCCCCCCAGCCAGCTCTGACCCCACCGCCAGCATCTCCCAGCTGGGGTGCTGGTGCCTGTCCGATGGTGACACACAGCCAGCCCCATGCTGCCCCACAGCATCCCCTTCACCCTGGGCAGCGCATGCTGCGGGGGGCCCTGGACCCAGCCCACCATGCAAAACGCACCCATCCCATTGCTCCTATCACTCCCATCGCTCCCCGGCCCCACGTTCCTGTGCGACGTCGGGCTCAGCTCTGAGGACTATGGGGTATCCTCATGGCCCAACCTCTCCCCTCAGTGCCAGTGCCTGCATGCATCGGCACACACACTGCCTGCACGCATACACTGCCTGCCCGGGAGGCCGCAGGACACACGGGGTGCTGCCCTGGGCCCCCACTGCTTGTCGGGCACGCCTGGCACAAGACAAGACAGACAGTGAGCACCCCTTGGAGGGCAGGGACATGGTGGGCTCTGAGCGCAGGCACTTCTGCACCGCGGGGTGTAGGAACTGGGGGGTCCTGGCTTGGGGATGTGTGACCCCTTCCCAGCCATCCCTGGCCCCACAGAGCCCAAATCAGTGTCAGTCTCCTTGGCCCTGCTCACCCTCAGCACCGTGGCACTCTCGTTGTGGTGCTGCCTGGGGGAGGAGGGGGTGCCAGACACCAAAAGCAGCCACAGGACCAGCTGGAGCAGACACTGTGGACCAGTGGGGAGACCCCGCAGCCCATGTGGCCCCAACTCTCCCTGCGTCCCCTAGCCAAAGGGCTACTTTGGCACCTAACAGCATTGCCAGGCACAGCGGCCACACACCTGGGATACAGAGTACATATGGATCCTGCGAGTGCTCAGGGCACATCCACACAGGCGGGACACGCTACACACACGCATGCCCCATACCTGACACTGAGTGTGCACACACACCTTCTTACGAGCAGCCCATAACACACATCCAGAGCACTGCGTGTGCACTTCCGTATCCTCAGCCAAGCACTGTGCGTAACACATGTAAACACACGCAGGGAGGCTTACGGGTTGTACACACCCAGGATGGCAAACACACACCTGGAAAACACCCCCACGGGGAACAGCCCCACACCGCGGGGCAGGCTGCCGTCCGTGCACCCACCCCGAATGCGCCTGCACCCTGCAAGCACACACGCACATGCACACGCAACACAGGCACACACACACCCACACGCACGCACCCCCAGGCCCTCCGCCACCCTCTCGGGGAGCCCCGTGCACGTGCACACACAGACCCTTGCACGGGCCCTGTGCACGCACACACACTGCACACCCCGGCGCACCCCTGCACACTCGCTGCACACGAACGCTCGCAGGCACCGTGCTCACACACCCCCCCCCAACCCCCCCCGCCC